CTTCTACCTCCGCTCCACCGAGCCATTCAGCAGGAAATCATGGAGGTCGTTCCTGAATACCACCAGCCGCCTCCTGTATCTGCGCCACTCAGCTACGCCCAAGTTGTAGCCAGGCCGCCCCCACCAATTCCTGTGACTGGCCCCCTTAGTTACACCGAAACTATCACCAGGCCGCAGTCCTTCAGAGATAGTGTGCCGCCCACATATGCCGACGCAATCCATGTGCACCGAGCACCGCGAACTATGCAGTCATATCAGCAGCCACCTCGCCCATCGTGTTCTGCGGCATGGATGCGACCAGCGAACCGATGGCGCACTTCTGACAATCTCCCCATCTGCTTTGCTTGTGGTTGCGTCGGTCACGTAGCACGCTATTGCAATCGTGTGCAGCAACCGCAGGTCGCCTCGAACTTTCCCAGCCAATCAAGCCGCTCTTATGACCAACCGCCGCCTAGATCACCGTCGTCCCGCCCCGCTCCGTCTACCCGCCGTTCACCTTCTCCGCGACATCGCTCACTGTCGCCGATGCGGCCACGTCCACTCGAGGTCGACCAGGAAAACTAGTCGTCGCAGTCCACGAGGCAAGGGCTGCGACGCTGTCGAACTGCGGAAGCCCTCAGGAAAGCCTATCGAACGTGATAGACGTACTTGTGGATGGCGTTCGTGCATCTGCCCTTGTAGATACTGGAGCCGCCGTATCCGTGATGGACGAAAAACTTAGCCGATTACTGCGCAAAGTGACCACGCCGCTTTGCGGGCTCTCCCTCCGTACAGCCAGCGCCCAAAGCATTCACCCTACAGTGATGTTCACAGCCCGCCTTATGATTCAGGACATATGCGGTCGTATGCGGATGTATGCGATGATGTATGCGGTCGAATTCATCATAATTTCTTTATGCTCTCACGACGTTATCCTAGGATGGGATTTTCTCTCCCGCCACGACGCCGTCATTCATTGCGCACCAGCAGAAATAGAACTCACGCAATTCTCTTCTTTGACGCCGGCCGACAGTCCATCTGCTGCAAGCAAGTTACTCGTCAGAGATGACACCCAAGTGCCTGCTAACACGGCCACGACGGTGTCGGTCTACTGCGCAAGCCTTTCTGACACCGCTGCATTCCTCTCACCATCTCATCGTGTTTTCATCAAAAAAGGCTTGCTGGTTCCTTTCGCGACCGTGCAACTCACTCACGGCAGCACCACTATTTTTGTAGTGAACTCATCCCCGTACAGCGTTACGTTGGTGCAAGGGGAATGTCTCGGCAGCGTGGAACCCATCGAAGACGAACAAGTTATGGATCAACCCGATGACATGCACTGCTCAAGTTCTAGTACTCTTAGTGCTGTTTCGACATCTGCTTCATCATACGATGATGTATTCGGTCCCTCCATTCCCGACAACCTTACGCCAGGCCAGCGTTCCCAGCTTCTAGGCCTGTTGGAAGAATTCCGGTCTTCTTTTGATGTCGCCCAACCTTCTCTCGGCCGCACATCCACCGTTACGCATCACATCGACACAGGCACACAGCCACCACTGCGGCAACGTCCATATCGCGTATCTCCCACAGAACGCCATGTAATCAACGACCATGTCGACGACATGCTTCGCCGTGATGTTATTCGACCCTCTAGCAGCCCCTTGGCGTCTCCTGTCGTTCTCGTCACGAAGAAGGACGGCTCTGTGCGGTTCTGTGTGGACTACCGATGCCTCAACAAGATCACTCGTAAGGACGTGTACCCACTACCGCGGGTAGATGACGCGATTGACAGCCTGCAAGGAGCAGAATTCTTTTCATCCCTCGATTTGCGCTCAGGGTACTGGCAAGTGCCTAGGGCTGAGGACGCTCGACCGAAGACCGCTTTTGTCACCCCCGACGGCTTGTACGAATTCAACGTCATGCCGTTTGGGCTGTGCAATGCGCCCGCCACCTTTGAGCGCATGATGGATACTGTTCTGCGTGACCTGAAATGGCCCACGTGTCTGTGCTACCTCGATGACGTCGTTGTTATCGCTCCGGACTTCTCGACGCATCTTCAACGCCTACGGCATGTTTTAACGCGTTTGAGTGACGCCAGTCTGCAACTGAACCTAAAGAAGTGCCGATTTGCAGCTCAGCAGCTGACAATACTCGGCTACGTCGTGTACAAGAACGGAATGCTCCCTGATCCAGCTAAGCTTCAGGCCGTGGCCGAGTTCCCCAAGCCGACATCCGTCAAGGAACTGCGCAGTTTTGTAGGGCTGTGTTCCTACTTTCGGCGCTTCATTCGAAACTTTGGGACTATCATATCGCCGCTGACAAAGCTCCTCTGAAGTAACGGGCCTCTCCATTCGTGGTCATCACAGTGCGACGACGCTTTCACAACGCTCCGTCGTTTGTTGACGTCGCCTCCCATACTCCGCCACTACGACCCCTACAGAGGTACACAATGATGCCAGTGGTGTCGGCCTTGGCGCTGTCCTTGCACAGCGCAAACCAGGTTTCCCGGAATATGTCGTGGCGTATGCAAGCCGTACGCTTACTAAGGCCGAGACTAATTACACCGTCACCGAGAAGGAATGTTTGGCAATCGTCTGGGCCCTTACAAAGTTCCGACCTTATTTGTATGGTCGCCCATTTGATGTCGTCACCGACCATCACGCACTATGCTGGTTGTCGTCATTGAAAGATCTCAGGCCGTCTCGCCCGGTGGGCACTTCGCCTGCAAGACTACGACATCCGTGTGCTGTACCGCAATGGAAGGCAACATGCTGACGCCGACACCCTGTCACGCTCTCCCTTGACTGACGACAATGCCCACAACTCAGCGTCTCACCTTGCCATTTCTTCCATTAGCATTCATACCATTGCTACTGAACAGCGCAAGGATCAATGGATCGCCTCACCGATAGACTTACTGGCTGATCCATCCACTCCATCCACTCGCGCGTTGCGTTGTCAAGCCCACCATTTCGCCGTTCGCGACAACCTCCTCCACAGGCGCAATTACAACGGTGACTGCCGCCAGTGGCTACTAGTCATACTTCGCAGTATGCGCTCTGACATATGCAAGTTCTTTCATTCCGATCCGCAATGTGCGCACTCCGGGGTATCGAAGACTTACCACCGCCCTCGCCAACGGTACTTTTGGTGCGGCATGTACCGCTACGGGCAGAAATTTGTTCGCTCCTGCATAGATTGTCAGCGCCGAAAAGCTTCAATGCAACTGTCACCAGTAGGTCTGCAACCTCTACCTTGCCCTGCCAGGCCCTTTGGGCGCGTTGGCATCGATTTGTAAGGGCCACTTCCACTGACGTCGGCGGGTAACCGCTTGGCCATTGTCGCTGTGGACCACCTCACGCGATACGCCGAAACGGCCGCTCTCCCCGCGGCCACAGCGAGTGATGTGGCCTCCTTTCTGCTCCAACGATTCATTTTGCGACACGGTCCACCCCAGGAACTGCTCAGTGACCGAGGCCGCGTCTTCCTGTCTGAAGTCGTTGAAGCCATTCTTAAAGAGTGCAACGTTGTTCACCGCAAAACTGCTGCTTACCACCCGCAGACGAATGGCCTCACCAAATGCTTCAACCGTACGCTCGGCGACATGCTCTCCAAGTACGTCGCAGCCGATCACACAAATTGGGATTCTATTCTACCCTTCGTCACCTACGCATATAATACCGCCCCTCAGAGCACCACTGGCTTTTCATTTTTCTTTTTATTATATGGAAGGCACCCGTCGCGCACCATCGACACGATACTTCCGTACAAGCCAGATCCGTCTGAGTGGGCGCCTATTTCTGCTACAGCCAAGTTTGCTGAAGAGTGTCGAGAGCTTGCAAAGACCTTTACTGCGCACGATCAAGAGCGGTAAAAAAGCATTCGCGCTGACGCCAGCACTACTTCAAAACTATTGCCCAAATACGAAGGCCCCTACCGTGTCGTCAGATGCACTTCCCCTGTCAACTACTTGATTGAACCAATCGAACCATCTTCGGACATGCGCCGTCGAGGACGCGACATTGTTAACGTGGAGCGCCTCAAGGCCTAGCATGACCCGCTCATTGTAACCACCTGTTAGGTCGCCAGGCGGCTCCCTTTTCGTACCCGGCGTACTTGTGGCAAAGCCTTCGAACAGTGGGTCGTCCTCTCCAGTGCCTTCTAGTGGGTCACCCTTTTCATAAGAAGAAGAGCAGCTCGTGCAGAGAGTCGGTCCCCGCGTGTATCATTAACGAGTGTCCGCCAATAAATGTCTTAACAATATATATATATATATATACATAACCAGAAAAATTTTTACATTACACTCAGCATAATATACAAATAATTTGTGTTGTTAAGGGTGGCAGCAGTCTACTTTTGTATGGGCTACTCAAAGCCAATTCAATCGGAAGACTGAATAATTTAAAATAGAATGAGAAGAATCAAAGGAAAAATAATTGTGTGTATGTATCGTTATTTGTCACACTTATACCACAAAGAACCAGACATACACACTAAGAATAATATTAAGTAAGGATGGCCTGCAGTATTTTCACAAGGTTGCATAAGTATTCTATTATATTTTTGAAAGAAGTATTGAAAATTAAAAGGGTAGTATGTTGCTTTTAGGCTGTGTAAGTACTATAGTACTCCTGGTGACAAGCAGCCATAGGAAAAATCAGACAATTGTAATTTCATGAGGGACTTTTCCAATACAAGCTTCACTCACACTGTTCAACCAGTCTTAGCTGGCACACTAAACTTCATCTCCGTGGGACCATGATGTTATACTTCAGACATACGAAATGCCAACAGTTTTCAACTTTTCCTTCTTGATTAAAATTGACAACTGTTGAATATTCATTAGATGAGAAACTGTAGTTGGTAAAACTTATAGAAGTTTGTCATTTTATATTACGTTACCTTCAACAAATCATTCATGATACGAAAAGTGTAAACCAGCGAGTTAGCTGCCCTGGACTTAGCTATCACAAAGCCTACTATGCCTTAGGCAAAGTTCACAGGAACACTAAGCATACCTGGAAGCCAGAAGAGGCCTTTAAGAAATTGCTCAGAATTCGAGCCAGGTTGACACAATGCCTGCTGTGCACATCCACCATAATAGCTGGCACACCCACATGTGCTGCATAGCACAGCTCCTGGTGTAGCACCTGCGAATACATTGTGGACAGACTTTCAGTCAAGTGGGACGAAAACTTCACAATGATGAATAGCACACAAACTTATCTTACAACAGTAAATTTTGTCATACTCTTGCAAGGTGCTGCACGCAAAGTTTTTCAAAAAGTCAAGTACACAAATTGCTGCATCCCACTTTTGGCGTCACAAGGCACCAACTATCATAGAGTACAATGCAAGAAGGCCATCTTATGCAGGTTTCACGAGGCCATTCAATTTTCCGATAATGTATGCAAATGAAAGCTTCAGAAGTAGAAGGCCAAAAACAGAAAAAAAGGGTGAGGAGGATATAAAATAGATTGATTCCCCCAAAAGATGAGAGGTGCAGTCCAGGAAATTTCATTATCAACCACTAACTATTTGGGGACAACTACAAAATGTCTCAGCGCTATAAATTAAAAGAAGTTGGGGTTAAGATTTTTATTTTTATAAAATTTAACACATAAACTAACAATGCCATGCTCTCGCAGTATACTTTAATTGCATACAGAGCCTACAAAGTTGAATTTTTGAAACTATGAGCTTTTTTTTCCCTGCAAAACTTCTTGGTCAAAAATGAAACAAAAATATTTTTTTTGTTTGGCATCTGTGGATAACTTTCCTTACATAAGATAGAAAGGGTTGTGAAGTGTTTTTGGAAAGCTGGTGGGGACTTTTTAAAGTGAGGTTGTTTGAATACCCAGGTAGACAGAACAGAGTGGAAAATGGTATTGGATGGGGATAAATATCCAGAGTGATTCAAGGGATACACAAAAAACACATCCACATATGGCCAGTCCACTTTTCCCACAAAGAATTCAGACACCCCTATAGAAAAACAAGCAACATATGCCTGGAAGAAAAAAAAAGGAGGAGGGAGAAGCATACCAGCAAATTACCACGCTTACCTTCTCACATGTTCTCCTGAAGGATTCAACATGCGAATCTACATCAATCCATTTGGAAATCCTCAAGGTCACTAAGGAGCTCCAATCTGAAATGCATAGTACATGACGGCCACCTATGAATGCTATGCTGACAGTTAATCATACCTTATCACATTGTTTAACCTTTCTTGTTACAGGAGTCAAGCCTGAAAAGATAAAGTGACATTTTCATGCTGAATGCCAGCAGCAGGGCATTTTATAAATTTTCGAAGTAGCAGGGACAGAGACATTGAATGCACGCGGTATGAAGTGAAGCCTAATAGTAAAGCTAAGAAAAACAATTTTTTTTGTATGAAATGATTAGAACAATGATCTAATTCAATAATGTAAAAAAATTATGGGAGAAAAGTGAAATGAACTAGAAAGAGAAGTTTACTCCAAACTAAAGGGCAGCTTTTTAAGTGCCTACCACGGTCATCTGATACCAGGAAGATCATTCACACTCCAAGAGCGTGAACCATCAGATTGACCACATATTAGATTTCATTTATCTCTCTTTATCTTTCTCTCTTTATCTTTCTCTCTCTCTCTCTTTTTTTTTTCACGCCAGCACAACTTGAAGCAGGTATTAGACGGATGTCATTCTGAAATAGATGGCCGACAACATACCAAAAGCCTGTGCTGTAAACACCACTTTTCATCAAATGTTTGCGATATCTGATGCTATAGAGAAACAAGCACAAAATACTGCTGGCATTGACCGATTCTCCCACATATAAATGCACATATATGCCCTATGAAGTGGAGGGAGGGATGACAGCTGCCGTAGCTCTGTGGTAGAGCATCGGATGGGTTATTCGAAGGTAGCAGGTTTGGTCTCTGCCCGCAACAAGTTATCTTTTCCCCACTACTCTTTCTTCCCATTTACATTACAATCACTTCTAATAAGGTCTCCAACACTTTCCTTGGCACCAGTGTTTGCTAGTTTTCAGTAATTATGTGCACCATTGGAAGAAGCGTGAAATATGACAAGTTCAATGTTTTTGAGCAAAAACAATGCTTGATTAGTGGGTCTCACTATCAGTGTATGTGCGAGTGTGTTTTTCACAAGCATGCACATGATTACCTCAGCTTATTTTTCAACCATGAAGTTTTAATGACAACATTAATGAAGTTGATTTGCATAGAGATTGAGATGAACATTGGCTCATTTATTCAACATTGAGAAACATTAATAACGTGCATGTCACTACTTTCTGTTAAATAGAAATAGGGGAGCCTTTAACAATTTCTTAAATGGCCTTTTGTGTTTTCCTTCTTTTAATAATGATGGACACAAACCAAAGCACAGATGTGGCAATCTCTCATGCAAGTTATCATAGAGCTTCATTAACAAAAACTATTAAGAGCTCACCTTGATTCCACCAATTTAATCTGTAATACAACCTCTTCAGGCCTCAATAATAAATTACTGAATTTTACTGAAATTACTTCTTTAGAAAAAAGAATAAAATTAGACTATTTAAATGAACATTACTGTATTCAAACTCGCTTCGACTCGAATTTAAATTGTTGAAGATTTCGAAGTCTTCAAAATAAACAAATAACTATATTAGGCCATATGTAACATTCTGTAAAGGTGGTCTCACTGCAGTAAAAGGATGCTAAACAGTGAACACACCTATCCAAAAGAAATCCTCACGGCCGCAAAGCCCGACTTCAGGTTAATCAACATATATATTGTATTCCAAACGAACGAATCAATGCCTATTAATTGACATTTGGCCCCTTGTAAAGGTCGTTTCACTACAGTGTAGAGGTGCTAAGCCATGAAACCACTTGTTTAACAATAAAGTCGGATGTAACCCTCTGCAAAAGCGATTTCACTGCAGTAAAGAGGTGCTAAGCCATGAAAACATCTACTCAAGGGATATCCGCACTGCCGCGAGGCCCCACTGATTCATAGGTAAATACATAGATTCATAATTTTTTAAGTTTCAAATTTTTAATGCCGGTTTATATGCTCTGAGTAAATTTTAAGATATAGCATTTTTCCAGGTTATCACTTGCATTTTACCTAAAGTCAAACTTTGCTACAATTCAATGTTGTTTCCACCTTGAAATAAAAAGAATAGCCTTTACACTGGCCTTGTCTTTACTTCTAATAATTTCATTTCTCTTTATAATATGGTATATATACTATTTGAATTCAATTCAAAATTATTCGACCAAAATCCCCGTTCACTTCAAAACCACTTTCAACCTGAAATTCCCTATTCGCACAAGCCTTAAAGAAAAATGCTTGTTAGCCACAGTTTTGAAGAATGAATAATTTCAGTTCTCCTGCGACTGTAGTAGCAACTACACAAAACAGAATTTTTTAATTTTTTTTCTAAATTATCCGATCAAAGAACTGTGTCAAAACGTATCACCAGTGGACACCAATAGGTGCAAGCACACCCCCACTTATGCCCCGCCGCGGTGGTCTAGTGGCTAAGGTACTCGGCTGCCGACCCTCAGGTCACGGGTTCAAATCCCGGCTGCGGCGGCTGCATTTCCGATGGAGGCGGAAATGTCGAGGCCCGTGTGCTCAGATTTGGGTGCACGTTAAAGAACCCCAGGTGGTCAAAATTTCCGGAGCCCTCCACTACGGTGTCTCTCATAATCATATGGTGGTTTTGGGACGTTAAACCCCACAAATCAATCAATCAATCAATCACCCCCACTTATTCGTGAGAGACTTGCTTCCAAGGGCTCCCTTATCCCTGCACATCGTTTTTCAAGTTCAAAGAAACACTTTCTGCACTGAAGATAGGAGAGGTTAGGGCCCTTTCCATGGCATGGTGCAGGGAAGTCAAATCTATGCATGTTCAAAAAAGATGATTTTGCTTGTATCTTGCGAATAAAGTGCCTCTAACAGTCTTCTGAGTGGTTTCAAGACACGTAAAATAAAATAGGTAAATGAAAAAGTCGATACTCCTGCAGCATTCTAGAACAAAAGCTTGGTAGAGAAAGGGTCCACATTTTAACTGTAACATTGGTTGCTGGCGAGCTAGTTATTACATACCGGGGATGAAAAACAGTGCAACAAGATGGAACAAGAAAAAAAATAAAAAGCATGCATACAAAACTGTGTATATTTAATGTGTTTCTTTTTTTCTTCTTTTTGTTCCACCTCAATTTGCTGTTTTTCATGCTAGGTTAACATTTTCCCCTGAAGTGGTTCTTGAGAGAAAGGAAGAGAAAAGTGAGCCCCGTTATTGTCTGCTTCAGTGAGCGACACCGCCACAGAGCTCACAAAGGGATGGGGGTAAGGAGGGATAAAAGGGTAGAAGTAAAGGTATAGGAAAGAGGAAGAAGAAGCAACAACAAACTGAGGGGATAGGAGAGACAGGAAAGATGGAAGAACGGTCACTGGAGTCCGAGGACGGGGTACACTTGCGAGAGATGTTGTCGGCGTCTGTAGATGGCGTAGAGCAGGACCAGTAAATCAGAGCTGCGCTGTCGTCGAAGGTCGTCGGCGACAGGAGATGACGTAGGGCGAGCCCAGTCGGCCAGAGCTACGAAGACGCCGAAGGTCGCGAGCGCGCGGAGCGCGCGGGCGCACAACCGGTCGGCACGAAATCCAGGGAGCGTCTAACATTTTCCCCTCTTACTATTACACCAAGGCACTATGAAGTATCCATGTTTAAATCAGCAGTTATAACACCCACCTTGTGATGGTAACACAAGGTCTGAACGTGCAAAGGGTGCAGGTATCGACTTGGGATTAGGCTGGAGATGTTCTTGCCGTAATCGTGGATGGCTGATGTCCGCCACCACAAATTTGTACCTGATGGTGTGAAAAGCAAACCAAACATGAGTACATTCATTCATTCTTAAACACCATAAAACTACGAAAAAAGTCAATGCAAGCTCCTCTGGGAGTTGCCGAAATAATGTGTAAATGCTAAGCTTGTGCGAATATTCGAATTCAAACTAGTATACCAATATTCAAATTAGCTTCGATTTGAATTTAAATTATTGAAAATATTGAAGTATTTGAAACAAACGAATAGATGCGTATTGGTCTGCATGTAACCACCTGTAAAGATGGTTTCACTGCAGTTGAAAGTCTTAAGCCGTGCAAACACGCACCCAGGGGAAATCAGCAGTGCCTTGAAGCTTCACTTCACGGTCAAATGAAAATGTTACTCTTGCATCGATTCGTTTAAGTCTAAAAGTTTGTTATACCAGCTTATATGCTCCAAACATCATAAATTTTAATATGTAACATATTATTTCTGCAAAATGAGCTCTCTAACGCAACAGCGTTAGAGAGCTCATTTTGCAGAAATTCCAGCATCAGTGTGAGCGTCGTTGCTTGTGAGCGAAAAGTCATCATCTTATGCATACCGAAAAATCGAGAACAATACAAATAAAATAAATCATTAGAAAATCTTGGAGCAGAGGACCGAACCAGGGTTGTTTGGGTCCAAGTGAGGATCGAACCAGGTGTGTTTGCGAGGCAAGCGGATGTTCTACCACACGGCCACGCCTCTGCTTGTTAAAACAGTGAAAAGAATTTCCTCTGCTTGGAAATGCAGTGAAAGTAGCTTTCATGCTTCACAAACACAAGTGCCCTGTATACATGCTTCACAATGCAACATGATATATTGCAGTAATAATGCATGGTACAAGTGTCCACAGCCAACGGGCATCAAAATGCATTTATCATAATGATGCTGTGGTTTAAAACCAGTGACCCACTACAAAAGGCACACATATTACTGCACCCTTAGGGCCACGTAATGGGTGCATAGCAAGTTCAAAAAGGTTTCATGCACCAAGTGTTTGAAGTACGTACTACGAACAGGATGTCACTATCGCGTTCAACTGTTAAAGGCGAAGCTTTAGGGCCCCCTAATTTTTTCATCTTTGCATTTGTAAAGTCTACGCTGCCAATATCAGTTTCTCTTAACACTCTCAAATTTAAATATCTCTCAATTGCTGTTCCGAAGCAGATATAAACTGTCAATCTCCTGTGGCACAATCCCACATAACGCGGCCCGTGGCATACAGGTGTGAGCCACACATGCCTTGAGAGAAGGGTTTGACGAGGAATGCGACATGAATTTCACATGATTCGTGTCGTGACCAGATAGTCATATTCCCCAAACTGTCTTACCCTTCCATGCCAATTTTAGTCTACAGCGAGGCAAAGAGGCGATCACGAGAGTACCACGACATAGGCCGCTAGATAGGTAGATAGAAACGTATAATGTTCCTGGAGTCTGCAATGAAGTTCTTCACATTTAAAATTGCATGAGTGACATTGCATGTAGAATGTTATTGAGTACCTGCAGTGATACGTATCGTGAAAGCAAGTATATCTTTGCATACAGAGAATTACAAAAACATCTGGACAAGCCCTATTTTAGAAGCTGCTCATTCATCTGTGAATGTAGAGTGCATACATTTAAAGGCAGATACACAAAAAAATTACGCATTGCTGCGGTGCGATATCATATAGCGAACACAGCGAAAAACAGCTAAAAGCAACAATTGTCACAAACGAAGACTGTGAAAGAGAAATAATAAAGTCCAGAGCACGCGTAAACATTTAAATGCTGTGGTTGCGCCGTAGACATCGCAGAGCACTATCAACGCTACAAAACAAACGGTCATGGTAAATAGGTGAAAGAAACAAAAGCGTCTTCAGCCTCCAGAGCTCTGGATCGCCAAATACTCAAGCAAAAAAAAAATCCCCACAAATCCATGAGCGGCTTTCGCGAAACGCACAGCGCTTCATGAATGCATGACAACGGTGGTATACGTACCAGGAAATGTTGGAATACTAGGCAAATAAAACTGCGAGATAAGGTTCCAATGACTGGTTCCAATATATTAACACTTTTTTCTTCTGTGATCAGCAATATGAGCCCAGCGAGAGCTAGCTCGCTCCAGTAAATGGATTAGACACAAGGGGAGAAAAGTCGGCGAAGCGTTCCATTTTAAGCAGCTTTGCAGCACCTTCCAACGCTACTACAAGTGTGGCAGTCTGGGCAAGTTGATATGACATCACGATGGTTATAGCGCGAGAACAGAACGACGACAACGAGACAATCGTTACAAAAGCAGTTCCAATGAGGAGCCATAACAGAACACTTCCCAATTAGATTGTGAAAAACTAACCCAGCGTTTCCGGCATCAATGATCGCTTCTGGCAGGTCCGAAACGAAGTGCAGGTCCACTCCACAAGACACACTGACCCGAGCGTCCATGCTTAAACCTTTATACTCCACTATTATAACAACGCCTTTGATTCGATTGACAGACTGCGTATGGTGGCCACAGAACACCTACCAGTGGTGGCTAGACTGGGGATTTAAACGACTGACAACATGTGCTTTTCTTCATGGTTGCCAGATGGCGCAAACCTCAAACTGCCAAATTAGACGCCGCAAAAGCCAAACGTAGACAAATGCTGAAACTTGAAGTAGCCCAAAAATAGCCCAAATAATTTGTTTCTTTAGAAATTATTTTTGTATTGTGAAAATACCTTCCCGCAAGTTTTTCTGCCTATTAGTTTTTTTTAGTAACCAAAGATGCATTTGTTGCTTTTCTTTTTTTTTGTCACCGTGTACAGTGTGAGTGATTCTGTTTGGTCCACGGTGATGGTGACTTTTGGATGTGTAAAATGTTTATTGTCACTTGGAAACGCAAAAATTTCCGCAAAATAACGGAAGAAAGATGAAAGCTTAATTACATCATCATGAAAAATTAGGCCTAAAGTTAAAGAACGCGAGCACATGCAACTCTAGTACTAGTAGCGAGATGTACAAGGTTATCTACAAGTACACAGTAACGTATTACATAGCTGTATCGAAAAAATCACCGCCATATCCACAAAGTGAATGATATGTTAGAGGTGCTTGCTAATCGGGTAACCCGCGAATCCTTCCTACCCGAGCGTGACACTCATCGTAGGAACCATGATTGAATAACTCTAGTAGGAACTGTTCCCGCCACCAGAGAGTCTTCAAAAGTCCACACGCAGAGCAACCTCTGTACTCCTGTTAGGGCGGGGCCGATGACAGGGGCGTAGCCAGAAATTTTTTTCGGAGGGGTTACACCAACGCCTCCTCTAGGAAGATGCCTGCCGCATGAGAAAAAAAAACAGCTGCCACACCATTTTCCTCCTTTATTTTGAAAATGTTCTCGGTAGCTAGCGTCCCCTGTGGCGGACGGTGCAACAACGCAACACTTTGCATAGCCTCCGAAACAGTAATGTACAGTTGCAGGTCTCGAACAACTCTCGACTGACGCGCCCCTATGGGCCGCAGATGAAAAACGCTTAGCTGGTACCTAGAGGTGTGCGCCGACTGGTCGGCGCGCCGCCGCCAATAGTCTTCGCTGCGCCGCCGCCGTCGACGCGAACTGATCGGCGCGCCGCCGCCGCCGCCGACGTTTTTCATCGGCGCAATCGGTGCGCCATTTATGCGCCAGTACTGACTTTTCACAGATTTGTCTTCTTTTTCATCGTGATTTATAGCTTCGTTTCACATTTTATGTAGCCAGTAAAAACCAGGCTTCTTAGTTATCTTCATCCAGCTTCAGAGACCGAGAGTACCACTATGAACAGCGGAACGAGTTCGGCTGCCGCTGCATGAACTGACATATTGGACAAATTGACAAAAAATAAATGTAACAGTTACAGTAAAGCATAGACACTGCCATCTTAGGCTTAGAAGCAATTTATCTGTTTTTTTGTGTCGTAATTAGCTATGATTATGGTGATACGACGTTGAATGTAATGGCCCAGCGTTTTGATGCGTGCGAGTTCGCCATAGCACAATTCGAATATTCATACGGATGGAAGACGGCATCATTATCAGTCCAAGATGGCAGCCTATAATTGTGCCCGAAACAGGGCGTACATAAAGAAGAAATGAAGTGGTAGCAGTGCAGCACGAATGCAGCGCGTTAGATGAAGGGAGGAGGAGGAATAAATGAGGAAGGACATGAAGGTTAGATGAAGAACTACACAAAACCCCGAAAGATGAAATCGAAAGGGAGAAGTTTAATGAAGATTAAAAGCGTCGAGGCATAAAACATGCTCGAACCTACTCAGGGTATATCAGCACCTGTCCGCGGTGTTAAAGTTGATAATTTTCGACGATGACCACTTATATGCAGCGTCTGAACATGCTGCAGAAAATATTCACCATCTGTTTTATTTTTTAACTTGTCTGTTTGTACCGGCCTTTTAAGACATTGAATACCCGTGATGAAGATGCCAAGGCAGTAAGATGGCAAGAGAGAGAAAGGAAGGCTGGGGGATTAACCATATCTTGGCATCCGGTTTGCTGCCTAGCACTGAGGGTTGAGAAATAGGGGCAAGAAAGGGCGTGTAGAGAGACAGAAAAGAAAACGCATGTGCACTCAGGAGTAAGATGGCAAAATTAACAGAGTATTTATTACATTCTGTACAGACAGGGCGAGAGGTCTCTTGCGAATGAGCTGGGTGGCTCACTATAAAGTGTACGTTTTGACTCAATCAGGGAATCGGTCCAGAATGCGCTGTTGAATCACGAGACACACACACTATTTCTGACGGTGCCGCTCACACTCGCTCAAGTCAAGGTCTTTGATTAGGGCGTGGCCACCACACTGCACCTGTGACACCAAAAAACCATTGTGGTCGTCTCGTCGAACGTCTTATGGTGTCGGAATGCCACCTCACTTCCCGGCTAAGATGGACAGTACACGGTGGACAGCAGGCTGGCAGCCCTTCGGTGACTTGTTTGATGAACAAAGAACGCGGCCCTCCCCCGTCGGCCCAGGCGCCGCGCGTAACAACGGCTATCCAGTGTTACGAAGCGGCGTAATAAGCTTGTCTGAGTCCACCAGTTTTAAAAAGAACAAAACAAAATTTTAAAAACTTGCCAGTAGACAATTTACAAAAGACGGCTGGATTCATCAAAAATGCAGAGACCGACATTTGAGCGACATGTCATATATGATATAGTTCAGCAAACTGGTTTTCATCACGTAACTTGAACGGACCTACTGGCACTGGGAGAGGTTAAGAATGATTGTCGCTGACAGATGTACTTCTGTTGCGAAGGTAATGCTCAGAGTCAACCAAATAAAATTTAACATTATATTCATGTCTTGATAAAAAAACAAGTCAAGTTAGAAAGCTCCTCAGGTGGCCAAATAATAAATTACTTCACCATACTTTATGGAGAAGTAATTTGCAAATAAATAATGCAACCGCTGTTTAAATGACATTCAATGACGTGACCGCAATCAACGGTGTGTCGTCGCTATAAAACAGGAAAGTTATATGTGGACACGATCGGGCGAATGCGGCGGAGAACGAATATGTCACGTAATAAAAGCGATGTGATGTTGCACATTTTCATCTTTACAACTCCGTGCCCTTTTGCTTGCTCGTGATGTGTTCGAAGGAGCTAGCCAAGTCTCAGGTAGAAGTCAAGCAGAGTAGCCGGGGCTGATAAGAGCAACGTTTATGTTCACTATTTACACACTAAAGGTAGCATCATGGAAGCTTGATGAGAGCTTCTGAGAGCTGGTTCAGAGCGTCTCGGTGCTCGCGTTTTAAGCCGTGATCTTCCTAAAATTCTCTGCAGGAGAAAACAATAGACAGTTTGCAATAATCTGCAAGGCAGCTTTTCTGTAAGGTTAGTTTTCCAACCATAAACTCTCGTTCACAGACTGCTTTTCTCGCTCATTTTGTTTTTGCCATTCACCTTTTTGAGATCTTGTGCTCGCGTGCCTTTGCTGGAATTTGGAGAGGTGACATTTTGTTGTACTCGCGTGCATTCGCTGGAATTCGTAGAGGTAAAGACACAATGAGGGAGAAAAGCAGTCTGTGAACGATAGTTTTTGGCTAGAAAATAAACCTTACAGGAAAGCCGCCTTGCAGATCACTGTAAATGGACAGACTGCATGTCCATTCAGTCCAGGGCAGTCTTGTCTTGTCTTGTCTTCTAGGAGATCTTGGCTCATCAGGGCAGTCCAAAGAAATTCTCGTCTTCATCTCAGTCCCCCAAATGGTAGGGGTAGTGGTTAGAAGAAGGCGCCTAATTTCTGCAGCCCAGCAGGGAGCACGGCGCAGCGAATAAAGATAAAAAAAAACGAGAAGGAGAAAGAGAGAGAAAGTCAAACACTGCCTTCTTTTCTACCCAGGAAATAGAAAGGATGCACGTTCAGTTCGTCACACGGCGAGAGAGAAACACAACGTAGGTCATAATGCAATAATACGCACAACACAGCACAGTGCGATAACGTTGCATCGCACGTGCAGAATAGGGCCTGCAGCGCTAGGCAGGCTAGGGCGTGGGGGAGTGAAAGACTTGAAAGCACCACAGAGTGTGGGAAACATACCTGACGACGAATCCCAACCTCTCGGCTAATTATTCAGCGCGTCTCGTGGCACATCGAACAAATCAAGCTGCCTCGATTTCCGACAGCTCTTTCTAGGCCGTCAGTCAGTCAGGCGTGTCCAAAGAGTTTTTGACGAGGGGAGCCAACAGCCCTAAAGAATTCGAAGCATGACTTTCGTGTAGTCGCCTCTTTTGGCGCACATCGAGAGCGTTGACCCGGAACAAATCAGGGTAGGTGAGGTGACTTTCCGCGAACCTTACCTGCTTTCCAAACCAGTTACTGCATGCAAGCTTCCCCTGAATGGATGAATGTGTGGTTGAAGAAAAAGAAAAAGACACTATCTTTCCTTGCGAGACCACGGCTCAGTCCCTTGAAGGGAAAGGGGAGAGTGGAGAAAATAGTTTAGAAGTAGGTAGGAGGAGAAGGTTTGGAAGAACGTGACGGTCATGGCTGCTAGAGCAGAAAGAGAATAGGGGCCGTGGGCAGGGCAGTCCGAGTCGTACAACTTGGAAATGTGGAGCTGCAACCATGTACGCAGATACCTATGGTCATTCCCACGAAAAAAAAATCTGGATCACCTTTCTTGGGCAAGAATACAGAAAAATAGCTAAACGAGAAAGCTAAAATAAGTAAAGAAATAACCGATAATCTAACCACCAATTGTCACCACAGCTGCGGAAGGAAAGAAGCAAAAACGTAATCCGCGACCTCGGCACCAGCGGCTACACAGAGGCATTTCTTCGTAGAACACTGTGTATAAGAAAAGACACGGGAAACACAACACCAATGGCGCCGCAACGACGCCACGTGTCGACCAAACTTGATCTCACGGAACAGGGAACGAAGCACAATGCCAGAACACTGCGAGACCACTCGCAACATATTTGCGTCATGCATACCAGTCCCCATGGCACGGTGTACAGCTCGTTGGGTTGTATTGTAGTCTTT